AGTGGAAATTAGTTGTATTTGAGTTTCCTTTTTAAATGCCATAGTCAAAGTACTACAGCTGTGCAGGACGTCAGTGAGAGGGAGGGAGCCATTGGTTGAATCATTGTTTGATTGATTACAGATTATAATGCCGCCGCCGGTGGTATCACAGTTGGACACAGCAGCAGCGTGAACCCAGGCTTTAAGAATAAATATATAATGTCCCTGTAATTAACTATTTCCATTCATATCTATGGCTCAGCTCTGCGTTAAACACCATACATAACTTAAGGTGATGGAAAGAATAAACACAAATCACAGCCTGTGGTGAGGTGTGGCCATGAATATCATTTTTGACTACAGTAAAAGTGTTTGTGTTTCCACCTTTTATAAGTTCAGATCTTTATATTTTCTTCTTTTTCTTTTTTTCTGACTATGGTCTGTGCTTCGCCATCCACAGTGAAAAATTAGCTATTGTTAAATGCAAAAGCCCTAAAAAAAAAAAAAAAGAGGAACCAATTGTGGTTCAGGTCCAACAGCAGCTTCTCACTCTTACCAGTCAGCAGGTGTCAGGAACAGCAGCCCAGCAGGCAGAGAAGCACAGAATGAGAAGTGGCTGATAGGAAGCCACTGTCATTCATGTGCTGATCACTAACAGTATGCTGCTCATGCTCCACGGACATGGACTGCCTACTAATGACTGATGGACAGTGGTGGGCCACAGTCAGGCGGGCACCGTCCCTGATGAATATGTAGATTCGACACCACTGGGCTCAGCTCGATTCAGCTGACATCGTGGATGTATAAACTCTCTGTCTTCATTAGCAACACTAAGGCAGCATAAAATCATAAACCGAGATTTTTTTTATGAGAGTATAATGCTTTGAGAGGTTTTAAAAACAGGCTCTGGACACATTTGTAATGTACAAAGTTTTGTGTTATAATTAAAGATTAAGAGAAAAAATAAATAACAAATTAACCTCCACTTTCCTATACACACTGTTGACACAAATGAAGCTTTTAATGTGAAAGGAATCACAGCGAAACATTTCCTTTCTATTTTCCTATTCTATTTTTTACATTTTTTTCTTGTTTCCTGGAGTGATGAATGCCTGTTGTAAACATGTGCTTCTGTAATGTCCTGCAGTGACGTGGCCACCGTCCTCAGTGGTCACAGATGAGCGAGATTCTGTGTAATATTTTGATAATGTGCTGTAAAGGTCGGTAATGTAAGATAATCAATCAGAGAGCTGCGCCCGCCCTCTGATTTCAACCAGAGAAATGCAGCTGGAATCAGTCAGTGTCTCATTACTCTTTCCTCTGCAAATTTAAAAATAGATCCACGTGTCTGACATTTATCAGGACGAACGTCGTACACTTTCAGACGTGCACAACAAACCAAAACAATGTATTCTCTTTTTCAGATGACAATCTTTTCAGCTGAGTCACACTCAGACTCGGTGTGGTGTATTAATAAAGAGCCGAAGGAAACAAAGAACAGAGTGATTGCCACCGACCGTGACCTTCTGCCTTGTGATGGTAAGTTTTGATCCCATGAACATCAGTGACTGACCACAGAATGTTCTTTGACCAAGAGGAACTGTCAGTCACAGTCTTCGTATCATGTGGTCGTATGTGTGGGAAGAAGCATGCTTAAAACCAGCCTTTCATCATCACTCTGAACACATGCTGACCACGGAGTCTAAACAAAGGGATGCTGGGTAAACAAACGCAACGTAACATGATGGACGAGCGACAGAAAAAGATCCAAGACCATCATAAATCAGTAGCTCTTCTCTTTTAGGATATCACTGCCACCTACCTGCCTCCTGGCCTCCAAACAGAAGGAACTACTGGCAGTAATGTAGACTACTTGTTTATTTACTGAATATTCAACCTCCTGTTGTTGGACATACCATGATTCAGGTATTTGTGTAATAAGTTTATCTCTTTTATAATCAATGCTCCCAGAAATACCATGATGAACAATATTTGACATCTTCATTAAATGTCCATGTCCAATCAAAGCATGGCAAATCACATGGTGACAGAGAGTAGGTATTGATGAGCACGCTGCCCATTTTATAAAGAACACTGTAATATGAGCCTTAATAAACAGATAATGTCTGTTTCAAGAAAATTGTCCTGGGCCACATCAAAATAATAACTGGATGTCTGTTGTGTATTTTTCTTATTATTTTTCCGTGATAATCAGTTCATTTCTGGTCGTTTTCTTTGTTCATGATTGTCACACACTTGCATTAAATTTCCTGCAGCCTGATGATGACATCTGGACCGGCAGGGTGTTCAGAGGAGCATGTGCTGTACCGTGCAACAAAACAAGTTGTCATTCCGTGAATGCCGATCACATGCTGACTGGACAGGTTTATGGACTAATCACAAAACATTACACTTTTTTAGAAATATTATTGAGTGTACAGAATGTGAATATGTAGAACTTGAAGATAATGGACACCTGAGGTGGGCAGAGCAGCTTGAGGCGCTGTATTTATCCATGTTTATAGTCTGTGTGGACAAAGCAGGTGTGAAGCTCTGACAGAAAATCACCAGCTTAGCCATCGTGCTATTTATAGCATTGCTATAGTGACATTAGTGTTTGGTGTGTGGACGATGAAAAGTCTGAACACCTTTACATATATACAGTATATATTTAAAACTGGATAGGGATCTGGGACTCCATTATTTAAAGAGCAAACAAGCTCACAACTTCTGAACATTATTTTTATTTTCAGCTATTTTTATTCTGTGTTTTTTGCCCAAGGTGAGTTTCGTTTGTTTTGTCAAAGACAGCCGAGCTTCTGCTAGAACACCAACAGTGAGGGAATTCAAATAATTAAATACTATTTAAAAAAAAGCATCTCAAGGAAATCGTAATTAAAGTATGGGAGCCCATTTTAAACCAAACAAACTGTCTGTCTTATATGAACTGAAGGTTAGTCAATGAACTGCAGTCTAATACCAACACAGCAGGATTACCTAAACTTGTACACGACCTCCAGGAACACAGGCAAAGGTCAAAACTCCAATGAAAACTGCTGGTCTTTCCTTATGGAGTTTGCATATTTACCTGTGTGTCTATGGTTTTTCGAGGTACTGATTTCCCAGCAGAGTCCTGAAAGCATGCAGCTTTGTGTCCCTGTCTAGGGCAGGTCAAAAAGAAGAAAAACACAGAGAAACAAACAGCAATATTTTTCCGATGCCTTTCACGTGAACTTCAAACTTTTGTGTGATTCTATAGATCGGTGGTTTTCAAAGCGGGAGGCGCGTCTCCCCTGGGGTGCACTAGATGATTTCAAAAGACAAAAAAGGAACAAAAAAACAGAATGTAACATACAACACAGGGAGACAGAAGAATGAGGATGTACGCAGGACAGTGTGTGTTTAAAGGATGACATTAAATATATTGCCATTGATTTCATGGAAGAATTAAATATTATTTTTGCAACTTGAATAATAAAATAATGTAAATTACAATTTTTTAAATCTTCAGTGACACAAGTGCAAGATTTTTTGAAATAGTTGTAGATGATCTAGACTGTGCATTTAAAGGAAAGTTGTTCTGTGTGTATTTTGTGGGTTTCATGAGTTTAAGATAATTTAAAAAAAAAATAAAACAACAACAACATAGGAACAACTGTCATGTCCTTTTGCACTTTTTCATGAAGAGGTTTGAGAGAGTAGGTGCAGGTCAGTTACCTTAAAGAAAAAAAAAAACAAGAACCAAAACAATTCCTTTTTCCTGAGCGTAATGTAACAAGGTACAAGAACAAGGTATGAAATTAAACCTGAGAAGGTTGGAGGAGAGTCTATTGTGATCAGATATAATAAGAAGAAAGTTCATCCGTTCTTACAGACCTAACAAGGTGTGACATTCCTTTCATCTCTAGACACAGCTTTTTAAGAACAGAGGAAATCTTTTTTTGTTTAAGTGCTACTTCGTGTTATTTTGTATAGAATAGAATGAAATGAAATGAAATGGAATGGAATGGGGCAAGAACATTTTACAGCAACGTGAGCTACTTGTATTAAAGTTTACTCAACTTCTCAAACAGGTGTTTGGTGAATAACACAGGTCAAATTGAACAAACATATATTGAATACATTTCCCATTGTGTTTTAACCCCCCAGCTGTATAATATATGAATATGAGTATTTAACAACATTATTCTATAGTGTTTTTAGTGCTTTATTAATAATCAAAAATTAAACATGTAAATCAGCCATTCATGATTCCAGTCAAATACAGTACAACATGTATTTCCTTTGACCTTTTCCTTTGAAGTTAATCTTTGAACCTGCACTACATATTGAAAAGTTTACACAAGGTTAAACTGTGTTTCATCTTTAAATGATGCGACTTAGCACACACGTCCCAGAGTGAAGCAGCAGAGATTAAACACGCTGAACATTTCCTACTCTATTATTGAATTTTATCAAAGAGTTTTCAAAAGAAAATCTGTGATCTGAGAAGGAGCTCCACTCCAGCACTTCATCCTGACGCTTTCTTCGCTCTCTCCATGAAGTACAGGTCCATTCAGGCCATAACAATTGTCTACAATGCCTAAAATATTAAACGGTCTTCCATGTGCACTAGCATTTCACATTAAAAATAACTAACAGATACTTGTTTTTCTTTAGTTTTTTAGTTTAGTTTTTTTTTTAGAAATTAAATGTTTTTAGTCCATTTCATATTAATATGCTGTATTGAGTTGCTCAATGTCAACAGTGAAAGTTGACCTCTGTTGATATTTATTTATTTTTCATTTTAAATTGATGTACACAGTTTTCCAAACAGTGACCTAAATGTAAATGCTTCAACAGACCAGTCTGTTACAGTGATGAGAGCAGAGCGATTCCCAACCATTGTCCTGGGTCTCATCAGTGTACTGTGAGATATCAACATAACCAATTTCACTTGCTTACACTTTATATAGTGGAAATAATCGTCCCCCCCCCCCCCCCCCCCCGCCCGGCCCGGGGTGCGCCGTAAACACAAACTCCCATCCTAGGTGTCAGCAGCCTCTAAAAACTAAGCAAAAAAAAATGAGAGACTCATAGCTGCTGTACATCTCTGTGTATCTTTCTTCAACTCCTATGAGTATAGAAGCCCAGTGTTCAACTAAATAGAGCAGAATTTATTACTAAGCCATCAAATTGTGAGTAAATTTAAAATAGAAGATCATTATGTTTCATTACATTATACTTTTTGTTTGCTGACGATCTCTCTCATGTAAAATATGTACAATGGCTCAAAAAAGGTTAGAAAACACTGGATAAGGGTCCTGGCCCATAACCCCTACCCTATTATACAATATAATAACTTATAAATGTTAATTAAAATAAACTCAATTTACACTGGAAACATATGAACAAACTACGTTTTATTCACGACACATAAGGCTAGCAGCCACCTGAAAGGCTTTCTGAGAACGGCTTTAGTCCAAACCTTTAACCTTTTCATATACAGACATAACAGCTTTACTTCCTTTTCCCAAGTTAGATTTTCAACAGACAGAGTCAAAATAAAAAAAACAAACAATGAAGGTTGTGTGAGTGATTTTCTCTTCACCAGGAACTGAAAACTGTACAGCAGAGGTATTGATTTATGTGAAATGTCCCAAAACCGTGGGTTTAAGCTGCATTGAAAAACCTCACCTGCAGATCAGCCTGTTCCATGGGTCAAATACATAGGACATATACATATATATATAGTATAAAAAAACCTCCTGCTTTACCTCTACATTAATCTGTACCAACTATGAACACGTGCCTTAAAAATATTGATCTAAATAACAATGACTAAATGCAGCGGCCACATGAGTAGATTCTCTCTTGTTTTGTATTCTCTGAGCGTCTGCAGTCGGCTGGAGTTTAGCTGAAGGCTGGGTTGCGGACACCCGACAGAGAGGTGACCGGCGTGATCTTGCCTTTGAGAAGGCTGAGGGAGAAGATGAAGAAACATATGCTCATGACCCCCAGGATGATCACCCCCGAGATGAGGGCACTCGTCACTGTGTTCATCTGAAAAACTGGAGCTTTCAGCTGAGCTAAAGCAGAACACAAAATGGAGAACACTTCCTGTTTAAACAAACTACTTGTGTGGAACGTTTCACAGTCCTGCAGGTGAGAGAGCTTACATTAAAAATATGTACATTTTTTACTTTAAATCAGTGATTCCCAACCACTGTGCTGCTACGTGGTAGACTGGTAAACTAAAAAAAAATGAAATAATCAGAGCTGTTGAAGAAGATCTTTGTGAGTGTCTTTCTTCAATTCCTGCTAGTATATCAGCGTTGTCTTGATCTGAACAGACCAAGATTTTAGTCAGTTATATCATTTAAACTAGATTATATTTAACTAATTATATTTAATTAAATATACTTTTTGTGAGATTTCTGTTTGGTGGTGTGCCGTGGGATTTTTCCTGGTGATTTATATGTGCCGCGGCTCAAAAAAGGTTGGGAAACACTGCTTTACATGATGCTAGGTTCTTCATTTAATGGTATTTTACCCTCAAACAGTGCAACCCTCGATCATTTTAAGCAGATTGAAGCACATCAGTTTCAGTCAAGGTACATCATATTCCTGAAAAAGTGTTCCTTCACCCCTGTGTTTAAGTGTCCTGTGCCTGTGGAGAATAGTCTAAATGTGCTGGCGTGTTTAAGAGTGCTGTGTAGTGTGTGTGCCACTCTGATCAAAATGTCAAGGACAATTTGATTTCTAGGGATGTTTTTACCCACTGCCTCTACTGATTTCTGCTCTTCAGTCGGAGCATGTCAGTGACGCTGCATGCTCCACTACTTGCTCTCTGACATTTATTTAATAATTAGAATTTCAAATGGAACAGGAGCCTTATTTAAGTCCAATTCCTGCCATTATAGGTAAAGTCCAATGACTGTGACAAAAACAATCTTTAAAAAAATGTATCTGCATTAGAATCTGTCCATGTTCACAGTTCTTTGTCTTAAACTTTCATCAAATCTCATAAAACTCTGCACAAAAATAATTACAAATTACATTTTTGAAAATAAAGTTTTGTTGACCACAGACTATTTTTAGCAACCCCAACCCCAACTGGATTGCAGCCCCCAGGACAAAGTGGGCACATGATGACCCACTTTGTTTGGAATGTGTAGACACAGTCATCAAAACGTGTCCTGCAGGTATTTTATGTGTACAACAGGAAATGAGACATCCTGACACTCCTGTTTGTCTTGTGTTATGTCTGGTAAAGGGTTTGGGGTTTGATGGGATATAATGTTGTTCATAAGAAACGACTATTTATGTATTCTTTTCCTGTTTAGCCCTGTGCTCTGTTCTGTATCTTGTTTGAGCCAAAGAATGTACAGAAGAAAATGGAGTCAAATTCCTTGTACACATTTGGCCAATAAAGTGGATTCTGATTGAGACTGACTGAAACACAGGAACCGCTGCACAATAGACTGCACTTTTCAGGTTTACCCAGTGCTGAGCAGCAATCTGCTGCTCCTGCCCTCTGTGTCTAACTGTCTCTGTGGGAGTTTCTAACTGAACCTCCAGTCACATAATTCTACTGCTGTTATGCAGCTCAATTACAAAAGTAGATACTTGGAGGAAAGTGGCACTTAATGTAAGTCCTTCTATGCTCTTACTTTTAAAGGGATAATTACACATAACAGGGTAAAGAATCATATGTTGAGGGACATTTGCCCTAACTTTTAAGGCCTTTTTTATAAAGAACTTTTTTGTGTGTGCAGAAAACCACACAATGAAATGTGCCCTGTGCATCTAACCCATCACCTCAGTGAGCGGACCGTCGACTTTCTGGACCTTTCTGGATCTTTAATGCTTTTCACTCAAATGGGGGCACCCCCAATCTACCCAAAAACCCAACCCTGTACCTGCCTTTTGTATAATAATAATAATGTAGTAGTAGTAGTATATTTTGGTTGTCAACAAATGTATTGGCTACACACATTTCTATTCTATCAGCGCTCTCTGCTAACAGCTGTGGCTGTTACGAATTAGAGTCTCAGGTAGATGGTGATTGTGAGCTATATCACTCCATAACAATTTGCACCGTGGTGAGCAGCATAAATCACACGATTTCCATATATCGCTTAAAATGGGGCCCCCTTCTGCAAAGGTGGAGTCCTATGCAGAGTGTGTGTTTGGCCGACTTACCTAGCTGAGAGTTGTTGGTGGGTGTCTCGTCTGTGAACAGAGGAGAAGAAGAGGCCATTTAAGGCAGGAGCAATAGATAACGCTCTGTACAGTGTGTTTTACGGTCCAGTGGCATGCTGTTAATTTTTATACAGTACATGAATCAACAGCAGGACACCTGGTGGCTGTCTAGGTTGCCCTCATAAGTTTTCACCACAGAACAACATCCAAGAGTCTTCTTTCCACACATTTTAACATGCGTTTTTATGAGGGGAATTTACTAAAAATAATTAAATACAAACATTTAGAGCGCTGCACGGTATATATTTTTTGTATTCTGCAGTGAAGGAGAAAGATCCTAGAAAGGGAAATACAGACGGTTGCTGGGAAACTCTGCAGCACAAGAAGTAGGGGGAGGATTAACAAAGGAGGATGAGACGTGTTGTTATCAGACCGCACCAAAGCGTGTGATGATGGGCCCAGCAGTCAGGACGGCATTTCCAGATGCTACATTGTGCTCCTTCTCTCCTGGTGTGTCTCTTCTTTTCCTGCTTCCACAGATCTAAAAAAATCAGAAAGAGAAAGATTGACATAATTTCTCCTTATGATGATAAATTCATATAGAGAAAAGAATCACCTGTGATTTATTCAGGGTTATAAAAGCAATATACTTTCATATAATACAGCTGTTATGTGTTGATCTGAAGGGACATTGTTTTGTTTTGTTGTTTTATGCATATAATAAAAAGAACAAATAGTAGTAGATGGATAAAGAGAAAAACACCTACAAGAACGAGTACTGAAAGGGGTGGAGGGAGGGGTCGGATCAGCTCACAGGCAATTTTCAAAAGAAACTTGAAATAATAATTTATAAATATATGTAAATTAACTCCATTGTTTTGTGGAACACAGATTAAGGAAAGGTTGATTTGAGCATGTATTTCACTGTCATGTGGCCCTGGTGGAGGTGTACAGCCTAAGGTCAAAATAGGGTTCATAATGAATATCAACATTGTATCAATGGACAGAAATTAAGGCAAAATATATATATTTATACAGCCCCTGTAGGTTAAGGAGATTCATGTCGTGTTTGCATCATCAACCTAAAGTTCCTGAACTTTAATCACTTACTTTTAAAATACTGGCTAAACCCTCGAAACACAATCAAGGTGCCATTTTATACCCTTATAGGCAGAAACACAATATAAAATATACACACTCTGATGCAGCCAATAACAAGGCTACATCAGGGGTCACAAAGCTCGACTAGAATCGTTAAACACACTGAAAACACAGACTTTTTAATGAATTCACTGTCAAACTTAGGAATTTCCTCCTGAGTAGAACTTTAAGCACAGAGCTGACACTGCAAAATCACAACCGCTGACCTATGGTAGAGTCCTGTGATGACTCACTGTCTCTCAGCTTGGGATAACATCCCTGTGGATTTCTTAGAAGTTCACCCTAAGGTTTTCAGCCTTTTCAAGCAAAAAAGGAACTGTGGTTAAATTATCTAACCCCTCCCAGACCGACGTGTCAATTTTTATCTTGCCCTTAAGGTCAAACCAAAAAATAAAACGAAGATAACACTAAGTTTTCCTTCACAGCAATTATTTGCAATCAAATGCAGGAATAAACTGATGGTGAATAATCAGAATTCCAATAGAATTTGATGTTTGTGTGCAGGATACATTTTCTTTTTTTTTCTATCCTGCACACACACTTTATCCTCCCAGTTGGAGTGACCACCACTTAATGAAGGTGCTGCTCTCTCTGATACTCTTTAAAGGCAATAATTGTTTCCCAAAACAGATCTATTCCCACGACTAATTCCACTTTCAAACCCTGCCTCGCCCCATTAACTTGGGTGGATTTGTATGATTAAATTGACCTTGAGAGGTTTTTTTACTCTTCTCTGGAAGTGGTCTGATTTATATTCTTTCATGGATCATATACCACTGATAAATTTATTAACCCATCCAATACTCTCAGGTTCATCTCCAAAACCATGATGTGAAATCGAAGAAATCTCTGTGTCAGTCACTTTCTCCAACTAACACAACAAAGACCCAGTGACCTAACGTGGAGACAGTCTTCTTCAACAGCAGACATGCCCAAGTTCTGACCTGGGAAACAATTAATGTAGGAAACGGCCAAGTTAAAATATTACCTGAACCCATTATTTATTTCACACCTAATCAACCAAACTAACCAGGATCCTTAACACCAAATCTCTCTGTTACTTTATCACCAAGGGATAAAAGGTTTTCAAGTTCTAATTCAATCTGCAACTATGGGGTGCCTTAGAGTGCACTACCACACACATTTCCGGCCTCCCATCAGGACATTGATGTGCTGCCCACTCTACCTATTGTTGTTTCCTTAGTGGTTATGAAGCCCCAAGGAAAAGAAAGAACAAAAGATATTCTGACAGAGAGGCATAACATTTTGAAATTCTTGTATGCATGCATGACTTATTGTCTTAATCTAGAGATATCATCTTTGGCACTCTTGCAGTACGGAAATTAAACATCCTAAATGTCACTGGCTCCCTAACCGTGGCAGCAGAAATTCCTCCATCGATACGTTTTCAATTCATTTTTCAGTGCTGAAGCCGGTCGTTATCTCAATTACAAAGACAGAGCAAAGCTTTAACTGTTAGTTCCGACCGAAAGTAAGGGGTGAAAAAGGGTCGAAATGAATGAACGAACACACACCAAAGCAGTAGCATGAGATTGAGAGATTTTAAAAGCAAGAAAATGGATGCATCATTGATGGTGATGTAGTATTACTCTGAATATAGTTTACATCCATTAAATGCACCATATCTGCCCTTAAATACACTAACATCTTCTGGGCTGCATTGAAATTATGTCTGGCTAAAAGCGTCTCCCTCTCTGCTCCACGGCCGACTGCATCCCTGCCATCTCTGCTCCGTGCTGTTTAAGAAGCTGTGAATTCTGCCAAGTGTCGTTGCCTTGGCAGTGTTTATAGATGAACCGGAGCCAGGGATTCTAAAGCAGGGAAACAGGAGAGATGTTTTTCCCCATCATGTAGTTCATCATCGTATGGTGTAAAAAAAAATCCACAAGAGGTGGAACTGAGAGGAAGACATTGGCAAAGGTTTGACCATGAATTTGAGAATTTGATAGAGGCCTTTTCTAGCCCTGCTGATTACTACAGTACATACTGTAAGTATTTAAGTCTTTGTTGAATGATTTTTTTTTAAAGCTAGGGATGTAAAAGGAATAAAGGAAAGGCATAGGATGGAAGAAAGGAATGAATGAAGGAAAGATGGAAGGAAGGCAGTGATGAGGAAAGAAGGAAAAAAGGAGGGAAGGATGAAGGAAAAAGGAGAGTACTATATTTTCCGGACTATAAGTGGCTCTGGAGAATTAGTCACACCGGCCAAAAAAAACGCATAATGAAGAAAAAAACAAAAAAAAAACAACACATATATAAGTCGCTCTGGGGTATAAGTTGCAGCAGGCTAGAGTGCCCTCTAGCGGATGTCAGTGTGAAAATAACATATTTTTACGATGCTGTGTTGTTCTCACTGGCAGTAGCATGGGACAGTCGTCCGATCGACACAGCTTTGTGACACAGTGCAGGAAGACAGTGGACATCTTCTGGTTCTTGTGCTTGACAAAGCGGAACACCTCAAAGGAAAAGCGGCCCATTTGGCTCTTCCCGTTCTCAAAGATGGTGGTCTGGGGGTCTTTTTCACAGCTGGACAAGTAAGAGAGAGATTTGCATAGAGTTAATGAGAAAAAGAGACAAAAAAGTCTAATAAATGCAATTTTTTTTTTATCTTAGCAACCTGAAGAAAAGGTCGTAGCGCAGGTCATCACTTGGGTTTCCAGAGGGTGTGGTGTAACAGTAGTCCATTAGAACGTTCCATCTAGTGTCCAGTTGGAATAGGGAAATTCACATTAAGAATGGAGGCATATACAGAGCAGTAGAGTCTAAAGGAACCTTTATATTTCACTACCGTCACTACAGTTACACAGCATGAACTCTACGATGTTGTACTGCCTGTGTGTTTCCCAATTTGAGCAAAGCAGCTTAACATGGCATACACTGTAGTCAGGCAACACACCATTATAGTCATTGTTTGACTACAGCCTGCCTGGAGTTCAGCCTCGTTATTTTCATCTTTATCTAAGTGGCACAAAACTTGTGAGCAGAAATTTGTCAGCTGTGGACCAGATACTCCAGATTTCCCTGCTCCTTAATTACATTGATTTTCTCAATATTTATTTTGGTGCATGAGAGAAAAGTTATTTACTCTAATCTGCCGCAGACTTTTAAGTTTAATTTAAAGGCCTAATGTTGCCGGGCATCTCTCCTTCAGAGAAAAGACCCTCTCTTGTGAAGGACCCTCACGTGTGAAGGAAAAAGGTGCAATAGTTGAAAGAACATAATCTTAATTTCTTATTTTCCTGTTCCTTATAAGTGTGCCTAATAGTTATTTAAATGATAAGTTTTGATAATAATAATAATAATAATAATAATAATAATAATAATAATAATAATAATAATAATAATAATAATAATAATAATAATAATAATAAAATGAGAAACCTGGTATTTGCAGTAATGATGACTGCTCGTATGAACGACAGAAGCTCAGCAGGATTTTCAGCTAATGATGAAATTGATTGTTGAGCTGGCAGTGATTTCATGTGTTCCCTTCATCATAACCTTCTCTGCAGTAGGTTTAGTTTATGGACAGGTTTCCATGGTGATGCACCACCAAAATAACCTTGAAAATTGAGTGTAAAATCTGAAGTTATGACTAATCAATAGAAGTGCCAATCATAAAAGGTTTGACTGAAAGGAACAAAATGGTAAAGGTTAAAAGCCTCCTTAATCATCATCGAATCAATAATCTATTTCAGCTTATAGTAATTTTTGATTCCAGCTGGATTTTTCCGTCAGGTTTCAGATTTCTATATAACACCTGCAGATTACTGTACAGTAGGTGAGAGGTATTCATCGCCCTTTGGCTTTTTGGAACAAAATGTGTCAGTTCTACAACTCGTCTGGTGGGTGATCCACTGATGACACCAAATGTTTAACATTTTATTTAACAAAAGCATGTAAGTGAACTGAAAACTCATTTTATTTCACAATATAATTAATTTACTCAGTGTGAAAACTGGGCCTGTTTAGCTGAACACAATCCTGATATAGTGCAGGAATTGAAGATTGGTCCACGATTTCCATAAAAGTCCAATAATAGTAACATAGGAGTCATTTGTTCTAGGGCAGTGGTTCTCAAACTGTGGTACTGTAGTGGTACGCAGGGAAAATTAATATTTTCACATTTATATTTTCAGTTGAATAAATCTGAAACATATCACGCACAATTAATAGCTAATAACTAATTAAATGCTAATAGGGAAGGCCTCTGCTGCTATATTCTAATGTTGGTGATCATGGTGGTACTCTGAGAGTTCAATGTTTTCTCAGGTGGTATGGAGTAGAAAACGTTTGAGAACCACTGTTCTAAGGAACAGAAATGATTCATTCTCTCACTGTGATGTTATGTTTTTGGCTAAGTTTGTTCATTTTTGAAAACCCCAGCTCAATAACATTATGGCCCAATCAAAGAAATTGTATGAGCCCCCACAGGGAGGAAAGGTGTATAAGTGCTGCAGTATTCTCAGCAGGTCTAATGGATGATTCTGCTCATGTGTGTTTCTTTCTCTAAAACTGTATATATTCACCTTCTGTCCAGGTTAGTGGCTTTCACTGCTGCAAACACACGTGTCTTCAGAGTCAGTCCTGCCATGGGGATGGACAGCTGCTGAGCGTATGATGTGTCCTGTGCAGGAACAAGAAACGGTGTGTGTCCGGTGAGGAGGTGAAGGGTTTTGGTGACATTAGGATTTAGGTTTTTAGTATGGAGACCCAACTTTAGCACATTTTACATCCTGTATTTTTTTCTCCTCACACTGAATGTGCCATCACAGGTTTGATGACATATATAAGAATTCCCTGCTGTGTGATTCAGTAAAATGGGTTTAACAATTGAAAAGGTTTGAACTGAGCATAATGGCCTCAATACATGTTTCTTTTACTGTAGATGTATAAAAGTAGTGCAGCAGGTAATTTATACACAGCTGTTAACATGCTCGTTGGTGGTGACCAATGAGCACTTATCTACAAAGCAACTTCCCCCCGTTTTCCTTATTTCCTGCAGCTTTTATTACCCTGTGCAAGTAAAGATCAGGAATCTGGGGGACTTACGTTGTAAAGCAGGAGATTCAATGTGCTGATGAAGGTACCGTTGCTCTCCTTCACTGAGATTGCAGCAGCTGACCTTTATTAACGATAAGAAAACATTTCAAAGACACATTGACTGGTTTCATTATTTAAGGCAACTCCAGGGATTTTACCCTGAGAGCGGATGATGCTACAGAGGCAACTGTTTGTTCAAAATGTTTACAAAAAATCTGATCGGAACATTTCAGCCTTGCAGCAGGCATGGCTTTTTTGTAAAGTCACTGTGATTATTCATTCTTTTGTTGTTGTTGTTGTTGAAGGTATATAATCAATTGGTACATATGATAATATCATAAGATAGCAGAATGTTTAGCATTATAATGTCTACTGCATGTTTGTATTGTATCATTTTTGCATTATGTCTACTGCATGTTTGTATTGTATCAGTGTATATATACCAATATATTAATGTTTTATCTTTAATGAGCATCATATCCTGTCCTTCATATGGTTGTTAGTTTGAAGTTCTTTCTAAGATTAATTTCATATAGTTTTGTCTCCAAAAACTTATTCACTGAATCTTTACTTTGCTTTTTATTCCCTGCCTAATAAATGGTAAACGTCAGACTTACGAGGCCAGCTGTGTGTTGTTGACCAGGTACTCCAGTGGGTAACTGCAGCTAAACTTGTACAGCAGACCTGGCAGGTAGCTGATGACAGTGGCAGGGTCGGGTGTGTCCACGTAACCTGAAATGTTTCCAATCTGCACCAGTGACATGTTTCCATAAGCATTAGGTCCTTGAGCTGTGGAAACCTGCAATGCAGAACATCAGCGTGGTTAACACTCGTCCCTGTGGCTCGATAACTGACCACCACTGGTCTACCATGGGCTCAGGAGTCGATACCATCAGCCATACCACTGAGCGCGCTAATGCACCTCACTAATCCTTACCTCAGCCTGGCCTTATCTGAGGAGAGACCCTCCAGGAAGAGGTACACTGCACACAGCTCAATCACCGAGCAAAACAGGGCTCAGAGACAGCTCGCAGCAGAGAGTCACTTTAAACGGACTTTACAGTGTTTTAGAAATTGTTTGCTCGTCACCATCCCGACAGAGCCTTCAGGATCTCACAGCGGTGCCTCTTCAGAGATAAGAAGTGCTGGACTTCATTCCCATGCATGATAACCACAGCATGTCAACATCACAGGACGGATACTGAGAATGACACAGCTAGCAGTGGTTAAAAAGAGACTTCTTTTTTACCCACAGACTGCTGGAAGCTGTTTTGTAAAGTTTATACTAGTTCACCAAGATAACTTTTGAGTCATCTGAGGTCAAAATTGACTTTTAACATTATCTGTAAAATACAGAAAATGTGTAAATGCTAAATAAATATAAAAAAGGTACATTGCGTAGGATTTAGCAACATCTAGTGGTGAAGTTGCAGGTGTTGCAGGTATTTCAAGAACATTTTTCCCCCACTTATTTCTTATCTTCAGCCTTCAATTATCAATAAAACTTAAATATATTTTAAGTGTTTCCAATGGATTGACATAAAAACATGTTGCTATAAACAGATACAGAGCCACTGATGTATAATAAAACCTGCTTACTTTGAGCTCAGCAAAAGAACAATTCACATTTAAAAAAGAGTTTCAAATCATGCCACGTCAGTTAGAATAAACTTATAGAAATATTTTATTAAATAATTACACCTAATTGTTACAAAGTGGAGCTGCAGTGTGAACACAATGTCCATATAGCTTCAACTTGGCTCCTATGTCTAATAGAAACTGTGACGGTGCTAAAATGTGAATTATTATCTACAGTACACCAGGAAAAGCAATTACGATGTTAAAGCAGTGAAAAATACAAAGATGTCTAATCTTTCCTCCTACTTACAGGATCCAATCCAAACATTAAAAGGTTGGTCGGGGTATTAAAGTGCTCCAGAATCATCACACCCTCCAACAGGTTTCAAGAAAATTGGTTCGATGGTTTTCTTATAATCGTGCCAACATACAGACAAAAGGGAGAGGGAAACTCTCATCCCTGTCAGAGGTAATGATGCAAAACTTCTTCACTGCAGCTTCAGTCATTTTTTATTTTTATTTTTTTTCAAGGTTGTATTGATCCCTTGCTCTCTGTTATGCTGTTTCACAGATCAGGTTGTCACTGGATTGGTCCACACCAGGATGGAGGGACTAAATGAATGGGTAACTTATGGTATTGGCAAGCAGTGAGATAATATTGGTATATATTATAATTATAATATTGGTAGGGGGCAAAATTAAAAAAAATAAAACTGGACATGGAAATGTATTGTTTAAATGGTGCCAATTTGAAATTTTACATATTTTCTTAATTAAAATTCATCTTTTTGTCCAGTAAGAATATTTCATTGTAGGGCATCACAGTTTTTTTCATTACCCAGTTCTAAAGCAAAAGCTGAGAATTGTCCGATTTAGCAGAGCGGTGTCTGGAGGAAGGAGTTAGGAAATCACTGGACGAGGTGGAAGCATTTTCACACGACTGCAGTCCACTGGACACATTTTAAATATGACGGTAAATTATATTTCTATTACAGTGTTTGTCCGTTTTATGACAGAGGATGGACACAATTGATAGATCTATATATTATCAGTCCCTCTGGATAGAAATGAAAAAAACTTTGGGTTTTCATTCACTTACATTTCAGACCACTGGAGTGTGAGATATTTGGTGTCAGAATTTATAAAGGTCAGCATCACTTGTACAACATGATATTTATAGACTACTACTACTACTACTGATAATAATAATAATAATGATAACATAAAAATAAATATTATCATTATTATTAGGATAATGATGATTGTTGTTGTTGTTGCCATTATTATTATACAGTTCATCTTTCCATAACACAATAATACATGGCGTTCTTCTTACCACCAGGGAATTACCACAGGACTCCAGTGATGCCAGACTGATGCTGAAGATCACAACGGTGGGAAAGGTGTTGTTGTTGATGAATCCGCGGCAGTGTGCATCTCCATGGCGACCGTTGAGGGCCAGGTCAGTGTCAAGGTAGCCAGAGAAGAGAACGGGGCAAAAGTTGACTTTAAGGGTGATGGTCTGAACTCCACAGTATACACTAATGTCTCTTTCCGCTGAAACACACCCACACACACACACGTACGTGTGTATTAGAAGAGAGGTTAAAATAAAAAGAAATGAGCATAATAGTAAAACGTTTCTCTGAAATTGAGATAAAAATAAACCCTTTTATACAAATAGTTACCCCTCCTCCCCTTCATCGTGCCATTAATTTTACCCTGCAGTTCAGTTAAATACAGTAAGGTGTAAATAGTCGTTGTTTTCTCACCAGGAAAGCGGCTGTGAAAGTTGCTGTCACAGTTGTATCCATTAAACTGTGCTCCAGCTGACACGGCCTTACTTAACAGTAAAAGAATTAAATGTATATGATCCATTTCAGAACCTAAAAGAGACAGCAGAGATCTGACAATTAACAGGCAGACTAGGCACGTTAAATGCCCCTGTGAATGCTAATGCATTTGTTCAGTTATAAATGTAAGAAAAAAAGAAAAAAAAAGAAAGTTGAATAAAAGAACTTCATATATTCTCCTGCAAACGTTGGATTAGCAGGCTTTGCCAAAAGAAAGCGCTCACAAAAGTCCCTCTGCTTCAGAGACGTGTCTTTCACACGGCTGCAGAGCAGAATCGGAGCAGACAAATGTCACGCTGAATTATCTTTGAACACCTGCGTCTTTGGCATCAAAGTTATCGCAAATGACGTTGGATGATGTGCCGATAACAACGGACGTCTCATCAGGTACAATGGCCTATCTCTGCGAGCACATCTCATTGTCCTGGTTAATGCTCTTATCACATAATAGTTGTCAGTCACACGTACAGATTTTCAGGCCTGAGGCAATCGCACCAGAATTAAGATGTTCTACCGACTGCTAGAGTTTTTAAAAAAATATATATTCATGCATATTTAAGGTTCAGCCACTCACCCTGGTTCCTGGTAGCCAGCAAGTCAGCGGTTCTCCATAAGCTTGGGCCAGATGATGGAATGGTCCACACAGCATCCCTGCTGGACAACTAGAAACAGAACTCAGGTGCAGGGGGGGAAAAGGGATCCCACACATAAGAGAGTCATTATTTGAACGCGTCAACAAAAAGGGGTGTCCGGGTTGCACATGGGAAAGTCCATCAAATCTGAATGTGTTATACAAATCCATTCACGTCTGCAGAAACATGAGCAGGTTTTGAAGTTTCCCACTCATATCAATTCGGCCCAATCTGGCTCTGTAACTGTTCACAAATGGGTTGACGCTGCATGAGGTCCAGCGGCAGTAAAAGGGGGGGGAGGGGGGATTATCTTTTCATCGCTCCAGTGGCCCTGGCCTGCTGACTGAGCTGTTCCATTCTCCCTGGGACCGTCAGGGAGTGCTGTGCCTGCCCATATGGGTCCTTGCAGCCGGGAATCCACACTTTTCATGCTTTGTGTGTGGCAGTCCTCAGTCAGCACAGCAGCAGGCGGTCAGTCAGTCCAGAGGAGCTGTGAGCTGCTGCCCACCTGATCCCTCATCTTTGATTTCTGCTCACAGAAGTCCCATCACGGACAGAGAAAACTGAGTTCATGCGGTTCCATGGGAGTTCCTGTTCTTGCTGGCCCATGTTCCAGCACTGTACGTGCTCTCATGACATTCTGTTCAAGTGGGAAAAGTGCTTTAAAGTGGCATTTATCCTTGGGTCCAGTTGGACTCCAAGGCAGTTTCTCATGTGAATTCCGACCTTTTGAGAATCCGACCACAGACACCTACACTCTCCTCATCTCCCCTACTCTTTCACAGCAATAGGTTTCCTTTGTGCCGTCTTCTCA